GTTTAAAGTTACACTCAAAATCATCTTCCAACTTCACCTTCATGGGGCCAACATCTTAAGTTAGTGAGTGTCCATCACCTTAGAAAACATGACTCTTTTCTTGCTCAAATAAGTCTTCAGTGCCTTCGTCACACCAGCTAGTGTTGTAATATTTACTATAATGGTGTTCTAATTCAGTCTGGTATGATTGGTGTAATGGAATTTTTGCATTTTTTCATTCTGCATGTGTTTATAAGTATATGTGAGTGGATGTAAACATGAAATCTATTTTGAAGTGGGCCCTTGGAGTCTATATGCATGAAAATCCAAAACTTGAAATTTTCCGTTGGTCCGCGATGTTGAGTTGGTGGCACTGCGGTATTAAGCTCTTTATATTTTTGGAAAAATTGAGGAATGTTGCGACGCTATGGTTCATTGCTCTCTGTTGAGAGAATGCTCCGGCATTGCTGTCTGGAGCATTGTGGTGCTAGATCAAATTTTTATAAATATATTAAAATCCATTAATTTCTCATTTTGGTTAAACAAATTCTCCCCTTAAGTAGAGAGAGAGAGAGAGAGAGAGAGAGAGAGAGAGAGAGAGAGAGGAGAATTCTAAAGAGAGAAAGTAGGTATCGGGTGGTTTCAGTCCATTTTCTACCGTCGTCGATTCAATTCAGGAAGTTGTTCGGATCAGAGTTAATTAGTTATATTTTTCCGATCATAATTATTAATAATATAAAGTTTTTGGGATTTTTCTGATTAAAATTATAAATTCGTAGTGAAAAAAATAGGGATAATTTTATATCTGCTAAATTTTCACCATTTAACTTTCTATATATTATAGATACGAGTTTTCTAGATATTTTTATATATTTTTAGTAATTTCTGCTGGATGATTTCAAAAGTGCACTATTTACAACAAAATAAAAAATAATCCTGCCATCAGAAAATAACACTATGGAACTTTTAAAACTTCAAAACAGTATTGTGATGTTTAAAATCATAAAATTCTGCCCAGTTGTTGAACATGTTGGCTACTAGTATAACATTTTTTGATTTTCTAAAATTTGATTACATTATTTCTTTTATTGGAATGCAACATCTATATTTTTGAGGTTTCCATTGTCTGATCTCTCATCATTATTTACTGATTTCTTATTACTATCTATGTCTAGACTTCCCTCTTTACAATCATCTTTTTTTTTGGGTACTTGACATCACTGTTTTAAGAGCAATTATTAAGTCCGGTCACCGAATGAATTCATAGACCAATAATCACACGCCACATCACCTAAAACTCAGTATTGAGCACTCGGTATTGCTCGGTATACGTTCGGATACGTTCGGATTTGACCGAACGTAATAATTGCTCCTGTTTTAAGACATCATTTTTAACCATTTTAGAATGAAACTTGGACATTTTTAGTATATGCCTCACAAATAAAAATCATTCTAGCTGGGAATTTAAATTTCGGCCACTAGTGATATGAGATAAATTATGGGGATACATTAATGGCATTAATCCAACCCTTTTTAGTCATAAGAAATAATTATAGTGAGTGTGTATGAAAAATCAATAGAGAAAAATAAAATGAAACATTTATTATATTATGATGCTTGCAAATGGAGAGATTATTACGTGCAGTCCAGACGGGAGAACTATCCGGATTCTGTGAGTTTGCACAATAAGAGTATAATAAACACAGTTGTTGTGCACACTTCTTTTATGTATATATTGCTATCTTTTTATCGTAGACGCCAAGCCTGAAATTTTTTTTTTGGTAATACTTGCTATTTAGAATGATAGTTTTGCACATTTATCAAATGTAAATGTTAATATAATCTTCTATAATAGGAACCATCTTGAGCTTGAGAGTATTTTGGTGCTTGTATAAAACTACTATTCATATTAGCATACTAGTTTGTCTACCTCAAGCTTCAGTTAGGAAAATGAGCCTGTCTTTACAATATACGCTTAAAAGTTCTTGTTGTTTCCTTTTGGACCATGAGCTATGTGTAGGTTAATGATATATGACCAGAAACAAAAATGAAATTTTAGCTAGACCTACCTCAATTTATTCAAAACCATGTGCCTCTGAATGATGGTAAAGCTCAGTTATATGTGCTTCTAGGCCAGTGTTTCTTTTATATTCTTGATTATCATCACCCTCTATTTCAATATATTTGAAAGAATATTTAAAAGTTTGATTTCTATCATTGCATATTTCATTTTCATTGATAATCCTAAAATTCATAGCCAAATGCATGTAAGTCATATCCAATAAATATATACTTGATATATTTTGGATTAAGCTTAGTCCTAAATACTGTATTAACATGAACATAAGATGAATTTTTTCTTAAAGATGAGATAAATTTACATTCTTTCCACTCCAAATTTTCTCACGTGACTCCTCATTCAGAGGAACTTAAGGACCACAATTGATCAAATAAACAACAATATTCACTATCTCTGCTTAGAACTGTTTGGGTAGACTAGCATGCAACCTCATGCTTCTGGCATGCTCAATGATAATTTTATTCATGTGATCAATGATAATTTTATTCATGTGATCTACAACATAATTGTAATGTGGTGTTCTTGAAATATTTAACTCATGTTTGATTCCATTCAAAGTACAATAGTCCATGAACTTCTTATCACGATACTTGCCACCATTATGTGATCTAAGATACTTCAGATTTAAATCAGTCTCCTTCTCAATCATGAACTTCCACTTCTTGAAATATCAAGCACATCTAATTTATATTTTAAAAAGTACATTCATACTTTTATGCTATGATCATAAATAAAAATGACAAAATATAAAGACCCTCTTATGAAAGAAATTGTTACAAGACTATATAAGTAAGCACTAACTTCAGCTTCTTTGACATCACCTTTGAACCAATTTTTTTAAAAAAACTCATTCTTTATTATTTTACATGTACACAGTCTTCATAAAAATCTAGATTAATAGATTTTAAATCAATAAGTTTTTTTTAGTAAGAAATGAATGCATAATTTTTCTTGCTCATATAGCCAAGCTTATATATGATGCCAAAGACCTCTATCAACATATGAATCAACTGCTCCAATGGAATTTAATCTCTTGTTAATAATATATAGGATATTTTTAATAATGCAACGAGCTATAATTATAGCCACTTTTCTCCCATTTCATGAATCTTCTGTGAATGATATTATATATACTGAGTTTGCAAGCTGACTCATAGAAATTAAGTCCCTCTTTAGAAAAGGAACATGCATAACATCCTCGAATCTCCAAGTTGACCCATCTGCCATTATGATAATAATATCTCGCTTTCCAACAATATTGTAGGGCTTGTTGTCTCTCAGAAACACTTTTCGCAGATTATTTTAAATGTAGTTCTTAAATGTCTCCTTATTAGGATTTGTATAAACTAAAGCACTTGAATCTATAACCCAAGATTCAGAATTATCCAGACATAAAATTATAGAATCTGATTGAAACTCTTTTGTAGATATATTTGCAGAGAAACTTTTATCTTGATCCCCACCACTAGCATTCTTTAGAATAGTACAGTCCTTCTTCAAGTGATCATTCTTTATATAGTTCTAACACACAACTTCTCTACTTGAAGTAGACTTTCCTATATTAGATTTAGATATTCCTCTACTTGGAGTTTTGTCTAAACCTTTTCTATGGTTTCATCATTCAAAGCAGAATTTGAAGATTCATTGTTCACCTTCCTACTAACCTTTTTATTAAACACTAACCTCATAGTTTCCTTAAAGTTTAACTTTGAATTCCCTGAAGAGTTACTCACATTAGTAGCCAGTCACTCATATCTATTTGGCAATGAAGATACGAACAATAATGCTCTCAACTCATCATCAAATTTGATGTCAACTGAACACAACTGACTCATTACAATATTTAGATTATTCAAATACTTTGTCATTTAAGTGATGCCTAACATCTTCATATTGAATACTTTCTTCATCAAGAACACTTTGTTTGAGATTCACAGCTTCTCATACATCTTAGTTAGTGCAACAATGAGATCAATTGTAGTATTCTTATTTATAATGTTGAAGACAACAATTAAGGAAAGTGAAAGTTGAATTAAACCTAGGGCAGTTCAGCCAAGAATCTCCCACTCCATAATAATTGAATTCAATTTTTTGGCAATTCCTTCCAACGATAAATACAACTTCTTCTTATACATCTAATCTTCAATTTATATACACCAAAATGCAAAGTTTGAATAGTTGAACTTCTCAATCTTTTATCTTGCTTCATCAGTCATCACTCTCGTTCGTACTATAGAATGTGATCTTGATACTGGTTCCTAGGGGAAGTAAAACACGTAGCAAACACAAATAAGAAAAATAAAATGCAACAAAAAGAAAGAACACCATGATATAATGTAGAAAACCCCCACACCTGAAAAAATGACGGAGCCATACCACACCACGAAATTCACTACGAAAATTGAACAGAAACAATATAAATGTCACTTCTCTCTCACTCTCTCGTTGCTTCTCTTCACCCTTGCACCTTTTTCACAATAGAACATATAAGAATAAACTTAATACACCACCAAGGGGCACAACCACTAATGAAAAACAAGAAAAAAACTGCTGGCTCATTTCACAGCGCCGTGATGTCAGTTTGGAATACCACAGCATTTAAATTTGTCTTCAATCTGCCTAACAGCACCGTAGTGTCGTAGTTTGGAGCATCGTTGTGCTTCACTCTCTATCTTTCTCCAAACAAATTATATAGCACAAGGGCGCTTGGTTACATAGTGCTGTAATAGCATATAGTTGTAGAAAAAAAAAAAAATTATTATGCAAATCACTCGAACTTAAACAGGAGAAAGACCCCCCTTTAACTTCTATTAAATTCAACATATTGAATTGAGATTTGAGACAATAATTACCAAACAACCCCTTGGAGTCTCCCCCTTGAATTAACCTCAACAGATCTTCAATGCTAGTTTAGATAAACATGGAACTATAGAAGAGAGTATGCAGACAATAAAATTGACAATGCAGATAAAAATAATTACTTCGTATTGTGGACGTGAGGTCACTAACACATTTAATAACGCCAAAGTACAAGAAATACAGAAGATGATTTCACTGTCCCGCAAGAAGTAGGCAACCCGCAAAGTACAGGAGATAGATAATAGCAGGGCAATTATTCAATAAACTACGAAACCATTTTCTGTTTTATTTTTTCGTGTGGGAGGGGGGGAGGATGAAGAAGGAAACCTAATTCACAACTGACACCAATATTATTGATTGATGTTCTGTGTAATCTAAATTGATACCACTCAGCGAGTGCTGCTACTGCTGGAGCTCCTGGTTGCGCGACACAGGAATTCCATCATGTATTTCAACAGGGTATCTATCAATGCAATCCTCCCATGGACCTCCAGGGGACTGCTTCACGCTGCGCAAGGCCTGCCACACAGCGCTATTGCACTTAAATCCACTGCCGAATGCAATCTGCCACACCCGATGGCCTCTGCTCACCCTCCCTTTGGCCTCAATGTAGGCAAGCTCGTACCAGATTGAGCTGGAAGAAGTGTTGCCAAATCGGTGGAGAGTCATCCTGGAGGCCTCGACATGAATTGGTTGCAGCTGGAGATTTTTCTCAAGCTCGTCGATGACAGCGCGGCCTCCGGCATGGATGCAGAAGTGTTCAAAGGCGAGCTTGAAGTCGGGGATGTAAGGCTTGCACTTTGAGTTGAACAGTTTCTTAGCAACGAGGGTAGCAAAGAAAAGGAGCTGCTCGCTGATGGGAAGGACGAGAGGGGCGAGGGTAGTGATATTGATCTTAAGGGCATCGCCGGCGATTGCCATGAGATCCTTCGAAAGAGAAACCCCAATCTGTCCGTTGTCATCCTGCTCTTGATACACACAGCGGAAGGCCTTGTCATCTGCGCCGCGATGGGTGCGAACGATATGGATGAGGCGGTACTTGGCACGGTGTCTGTCGGCGTTGCGGTTGGAGAGGAGGACGGCAGAGCCGCCGAGACGGAAGAGGCAGTTGGGGATGAGCATGGACTTGCGATTCCCAAAGTACCAGTTCTGGGTGATGTTCTCCGTGCTGACGACGACGGCATAGGTGTTGCGGTGGACCTGGAGTAGGTCGCGGGCGAGGTCGATGGCGATGACTCCGGCGCTACAGCCCATGCCACCCAAATTGAAGCTCCGAATATTGCCACGTAGCTTGTACCGGTTGACGATCATGGCGGAAAGGGAAGGGGTAGGGTTAAAGAGGCTGCAGTTGACGACTAAGACTCCAACGTCTTTTGGCTTGACGCCGGTGCTGCGGAAGAGCTTGTCAATAGCTCCGAACATGACCTGTTCGGCCTCAGCGCGGGCGGCCGCCATTGAAGGGCGCGGGGGCAGGTAGTGCATGGCGTCCGGGACATAGGTCTCCTCGCCAAGGCCAGAGCGCTCGAGGATCTTCCTCTGGAACTCCAGCGCCGACTCGTTGAAGTTGCCACAAAGGCGTGAGTGCTCCATGAACTGTGTAAAGCGAGCTTGAAGTCTGTCGGGCGGGCGATAGCAGGCATAGTCCACGAGGTACACTGGTTGGCCTCTCTTCATGATGTAGACAGTGGAACCGAAGACTAGAACGGCTGAGAAGACAAGCACGCTCACAAGATTATACTTAAGCTGAAGCCACAGCTGCCGGATATCATTTGGATCTGTTCTCCCTGCCTCCACCAGGATCACCACCATGAGCGGAATCAAGAGGAGCGTCAGCAGGTGCGTGATCAGATAGTGATAACCAAGCTTCACATACTTGAGGTTAACACTCTGCAAAAAATCCGGCAGCCGCCGACTCTGCCCGCGCGACCCCTCCACTGTCTCACCTTCCATCATCTCAGATCTGACGCGTTGGTCCAACGGCTGATTCCAAGTTCCAACCTTTCTACAACTTGCCACCTCTATCGGGCGGGTGAGCGTAGGAGGCTATTTAACATAGCCGCAGGTCAAGAGTCCACAGATGGCGATTCTTACACGGTTCTTGGTGGGCGGCCATTGCCAAACTCCATTTACTTCAAAAACAAACTGGCCCTTTTCAAACAGCTTATCGCCAGATCAGATAAATTAAATCGAGTCGTCGGCTGAAGGTGCCTCGAAGACGTGGGCGGGCTACTGGGCTGGTTTTTTTTTTAATTGTTTATAAATTCTAGACACATCAAAATTTGAACTCAATACTTCTTGAAAGAAAGCCAAACCAGAACTTAAGTCTCTCGAGAGTGATCTGAGAAGAGAACAGGAAGAAAGAAAGCGATAGTGAGACGGCGACAGCAGGGCGGGCAACGTGGTGGACTCGTTGGTCACCACGAGGGGCACGAGCGATGAGAGTAAATGAAGGCGGTGCCGCCTTGCCGGGCAACTCGCCGGGCAACTCGGATCGACAGAGTATTTTAGACTGGCGATTGCGGCGACAGCGGGATGTTGCGGTTACGGTGTCGTACGCTACAGAGAGGGCTATAGGGAAAGATGTGGGGTAGACGAGGGGTAGGTATCCGTTAGCCAGCGAGTCCGGCCAAGTGCGCGGGGATGTAGCCTGAGCTCAATAAATTATATTCGTAAAATATGTGCATGAATCAAATACAAATGAGAATCTGAGATAGCCAGAATAATATAATAGATAACTCCATTAAAAAAATAAAAAAAATTCAAAGGCCAGGACAGGTAGGTGGGGAGTCCGAGACCAGATAATAGTAACCATTGGAATTTTATTATTCTTCGTCGCGACTATTACGTAAAAATAAATTTAAAAATTTAAGTACTCAAAGGTCAGAAATTTTTTCATAATTTATCACTTTTATTATTAAAAAATTTAAATAATAATAATATTTTTTTTATTAAGACTAGATATATCTATATAATATTTAAATTTTTATTTTTTATTTATATAATATTTAAATTTTAAATTAAATAAAAAGTAATATTAATTTTAACTTCTTTAATATAAAATATATTTTTATACATATATTTTATTATGAATTATAAGGTAAAAGTTAATATAAATAAATACTAACTTTATTAAAAAAATAATAAAATTAATATAATAATGCTAGGCCACTTAAAATTAGAAATAGTTAAATGCATTAGTCAATATAGAAGAAAGTTTAGTGGAATTAAGTGTATTATACTATGGATCTATAACAACTTTTTATGTTATTAAAACAAAAGTAAAATTTGAAATAGCAAAATCTTTCAAATACAGAATTGAGGCATATTAATCCACCACAAATTTGAAGAATATGGCCATTAAAATCGTCACAATTGTCAAGAATTTTTTCAAACAATATGTAGATAATTTATTTTTCTACAACAATTTACATACATACCACCCAAATCTTAAGAAGAAGAAGAATAATGAGAAGAAGAAGAGGAAGAAGGGGAAGAGACTTACACTGAAGAAAAGCGAGCAAGATGCGAGCAGATGTGCGAGCGGACGGGCATTTCTGACAGTAATGACCGGTCATGTGCTCCTTCAACAGTGGTTTGCTATGCTCGGCAGTGATTGCTCTGCTTGAGAGTCACGGTGGCGGAAGACGGAGAGCTGAGCAGTTCGTGCACATAAGATTGGAAAAATTAGGGATTCTTGATATGTTTAAGGGCTAGGCGGGGATTTTTCGTGGAGTAAAAAATCGGTGCTAATTGCACTAGTTAAAACCAGTGCAATTTGCAGAAAAAAACCAATGCTAAAATATGATTTTGGAAGCGGTTTACAAACCACTACTAACATCTGCTACGAAAAATTCAATTTTTTAGTTGTGGAAGGACAATAGTTGGCGGGCGATAGTGGTTAGAAAGACCATAGTATTGCGAAGGAGGTCAGAAAGACATAGTTAGCGATGGTCAGAATGATGGTTGTTAGGTGATGGAAGTTGGAAGGACCAAAGTCTGGGGGCGACGGTGGCTAAAAAGATTGTAGTTTGACGATGAAGGTCAGATGGACAGTAGTTGGTGATGGTCAGAAAGACGGTTGTAAGGTGATGAAAGTCGGAAGGATCGTAGTTGACGGGTGACAATGATAAAAAAAATATTGGTCGGGTGATGATGGTCGGAAGGACCATTGTCGGATGAATGTGGTCAGGAGAAAATTCGTCGATAATTGATGGCCGGGTGTAAGTCCGTCAATAATTGGTGGACGATCAAAAGTTTGGTAATGGTCAATGATCGGACATAAATCTGACGTTAATTGGTGGCCAACTGTAATTCTTGCTACAACTGGCCGGCCAGAAGTTCGACGATTGTTGATGGTTAGTCGGTGGTCAAGTATGATCTTGGTGGCAAGAGAGATCTCATATTTTTCTTCCTCTCCTCCCCTCTTTCTATTTATCTCCCTCCCAGTGAAGAATAAGGGGTCTATTTATAATTATTTTTGGAGAGACATGACAAGTAAATATAGAAAAGATAAAGTCAAATTGAGAGTGGTTCTAATAGAGGACAAATATTCATTTCCTTGAAATTAAACAATTTATCAAGTATTTAAGTGCTTTAATGATGTTAGAATTCCTTCATCTTAGGTTCGTTGGATTTGTCTCATTAAGCTGCTCAATTCTACTATAAGCATGTCACATTTGAAAATCACTTGATTGTCTACATTTCAAAATCATTTTATTATCTAATTTAAAGTTTAAACCTTTTAAATATGCTTCGGGTTCTTGATAAGAGCCCATTTGGGCTTAGATTGGAACGAATTTAGTATTGTTCGGTTTGTCTTTTCTAGAAGTTCAGTTCGACTATAAGTTTGCTAAAATTGGTGTTTGGATGATCCCAGATTTAATTTCAAATGGTTCCAATGAGAATTGGTCTCGAGCTTCGTATCAGATATGTAAATTTTTTTGATTATATATCAATTTTTCCATATTTTCGGAAATCAAAGCTAGCAAAGTTTGAAAATATGTGTCAGAGAATTTCAAGCTATTTGAATTGCAAAATTATAATTTTCAGGTGAATAAAGGCTCGACCACTCCCTAGGCCTCAACATGGACCTTCCATCAGGGCCATGAACCAAGTAAAATATCCTTGATTAAAAATTTAGGATGTCCTAAAGTTGGCTCGTCAATTGGAGAAAAATTGGTTCCAAAACCTTAAAAATTATTCGAAATTCTTTGTAGAGGCTCCATTGAGCTCTGAAAGTGCAAAAATTAAGTTTGAAATATTGAAAAATGATTTTGCAACCCAAAAACGTCCAAATCAGGCAGTTCGGACTGAAAATATGGCCCATACCCGATACTATATTAATCATCTACTACATTAACTACATGCTACAATACCTCGAACTACAGTGGCCGAGGGCATTTTTTAATTTTAAGAATATTCCTAGGAATATTCTTATTCCCTAAGAATATTTCTCATTCTCTTTCAACTATAAATTCCTCCCCTAGGGCAAGGGGGAAATTACACCATTTCTTCTTCTCTTCTCCTCATCTAGTCTTCTCACAATAGGGGCCTTCCACTGTCTTAAATATTGCACCAAACACTTTTATTTGCTAGAATGCTAACTTCTCTATCTCTATATCACCATGAATATTCCAGGATGCAATAATTATCATATTTAATGGAGCTCCCTCTAAGTAAAATGCATTATGTTTAATAAAATTATTGCGTCAAGGATTATTCAGACTGATAGAGAGATATGAATTTTAGTATCCTAGCTTTGAATGAAGTTGTTGAACATATGCAAATAAAAAAGAGGGTTATAATATTCATAATAGACAATATAATTTTTATGTGGAAACCTTTGAAAAGGGGGAAAACCATTGGGCCTTGCCCAATTGAGAAGAACCCACCAGTTTTTGTAGTTGATTACACATGACGTTATCCTTGAAGGAAGTTCTTAGCTAAAAATAGTAAATATACAACATATAGAGCACATTGCATAGTGAAACTGTAAATAATCAATGGGTGATAGAGGTTGGAGGCACCATAATTATCAATCAATGATGGTCAAAGGGACTTAGTCGGCTGGTGACGATTATTGGATGGACCGTAGTCTGCAAGAGAAGGAGGTCAGAGGCATCATAGTTAGTGGGCGACAATGGTCGAAGGGACCATAGTTAGCGGGTGATGGTGGTGGCAATGGATTGTAGTCGATGAGCTATGGTGTTTGGAAAGATCATAGTCGACGTGCAACAGAGGTAAGAGGGAGAATCATTGGCTAGCGATGATGGTTGGAGGGGACCGTAATTAGTGGGCGACGATTATTGGAGAGGCTATAGTCGGCAGGCAATAGTGGTTTGAGAGATCATAATCAGCAGGTGAGGGTGGTCGGAGGGATCATAGTCGAAAAAGCGATGACGCTTGGAGTAAACTATAGTCGACCGATAATGGTGGTCGGAGGGACCATAGTTGCCGAGCGACAGAGGTAATAAAGACCGAAGTGGGCAGGCGATGGTGGTCAAGGGGATCATCATTGGAGGGTGATAGAGGTCCGAGGGACCATATTCAGTGGGTGACAATGGTTGGAGTGGATCGTAGTCGGCGGGCGACAGTGGTTCGAGTGATCTTTGTCGGACGACGAAGGTTGAATGACCGTAATCAAGTGACGATGGTGGTCAAAGGGACAATAAGAGATGGGTTGCAAAGCTTTGATGATGGTTGGGTAGAAGTTCGACGACAATTTGAGGTTTGGAAGAAGTCCGATGGTTTAGTGGTGATCGACAACCGAGCCGTGGTTTGTCGATGATCGGTGGATGGGGGGTGGTCCTGTGGTGGTTGAGGAATGTTCAACGGCGGTCGTGCTTGGGTAGAACTCTTAGAACCTCAAAATCTCGATCAGAAACCTCTCCAATCTCCAACCAAAGCCTCCTTCATGAAAGAGTTGGGGTCGATTTATAGATTTTTGTGTGGCACATCCTGTAAAAATGGAGAAAATCTAGGGCAAAATCGGAGCGGTCAATCAGACGGATCATATCAATTCCCTCAATCATAGAATGTTCATCAAGAATTTAAGTGCCCAAATGATGTCATAGTTAAGCGATCTTGGGCTCGTTGGATTTGTCTCGCCGAGCCGCTCGATTCAAATATAAGCATGCCATATTTGGATATTATTTTATCATCCAATTTATACTTTGAAGCTTCCAAATGTGTTTCTTTCCCTTAATTGGACCCGTTTGGGGTCAGATTAGACCGATTTTGGTGTCGTTGGGTTATTCTCTTCGAGACATTTTGTTTGACTATAAGTATGATTTTCTAAATTTAATTTTGGAAGCTTCTAACTTAAATATGCCTCAACATTCGTGCTCAATCAAAATAATTTTTGATTATATATATTTGCTTGACATACGGGGCAGCGGGGCAGTGGGCGGGGGCAGCATCGCGAGGCACGCGGGGCAGCGGCCAGCGGTGTGGGGC